CCAGAGGTGAGAGGCAAGTTCACTAGTGCTATGCCACTCTTAAACTCAAGATTGAATTAGAATGTAGCTAGATTTTCCTCATGTGTGACGACAAGTTCAGGAATTACATGTGAGACCCCAGAGGTGAGAGGCGAGTGCACTAGCGCTATGCCACTCTTAAACTCAAGATTGAATTAGAATGTAGCTAGATTTTCCTCATGTGTGACGACAAGTTCAGGAATTACACGTGAGACCCCAGAGGTGAGAGGCGAGYGYACTAGCGCTATRCCACTCTTATACTCAAGATTGAATTAGAATGTAGCTAGATTTYGCAGAGGGAGGAAAATTGGAGAATCAGGAGCAAAAACCCTCAAATGAAGGGAGACACTTGACAAACTCTACTCAYGTGATGCCAAGTCCAAGTATCAAACCCGAGACATCAGAGGTGAGAGGCGAGTGCATTAGCGCTATGCCACCCACCCAATTAGGCAGTGATGAGCCCATCTAGATGCACTCAGCTAATTTAAAATTTGACTTGCAGGTGATAGTTACATTACCCTTGGCTGTTTTGAAGTCTGGCTTTGTCAAGTTCACTCCTGACCTGCCTGCATCAAAAGTGAATGCAATCAAAAACCTTGGAGCTGGTCTCATTGAAAAGGTAATAACCCTTTATAACAAAATTGATAAAACCTTTTGAAACATCAATTGACTAATTTTTTGATGGAATATACCCTGAGTGCGAAAGAATTTGAATAATGGAATAATGGAATGCTTCAAGGTATACCAAAAACTATCTGTGCTCTCTATTTTTAGGTTGCAATAAAATTTTCTAAAAATTTTTGGAGTAAAAAAATTCAAGGTGCCAATTTTTTTGGCCGTATTCCTTYAACCAGAGGCAACAGATCAAGTTCTGCTATCTTTTATGACTTAAGTAGAAAGGTGAGATAACTATGTTTCTGTTCATCCATCCAACATCAATCTATCCTTCCATCAATCCATCCATTCATTTGTCTGTCCGTCCGTCCGTCCGGCCAGCCATCCATCCACCAATCCATTCTTCCATTCCATCCATCTATCCATCCATGCAATCTATCCACCCACTCACCCATTCATTCTGGTGATGGCAGTCAGAAGAACAGTTGAAACCTCAATTACACACAAAAATACATATGAAAACCATTGCAAAACCTTGTCTTCACCACATGGAAGTCTGACATCTCACAATTCTTATTTCATTTTCTTTTAGGAATCATCAAGTCCCAAGAAGTGCAACATCCTGATGACTGTCCTATCGGGTGAATTTGCATCCAGCATGAAAGATGAAGAAATTATCAACGAAATAATAGGTATCCTGAAAGGACTCTTTCCAGAAGAGGTGAGCAGATTGATGCTATGAATTATAAACAGGGTTTGCATTGCTCCTGGAATTCCTGGAATACTTCTGGAATCTCAAAAATTTCTTCCATGACCCTGGAAAATTTTRTCATTTTTGATACCAGCTCTTGTAAAACTCTTTGAAATTTCTATTATTATTAGATAATAAATATTAAACAGATAAAATGTTAAAAGTGTTTCCTCTACTGGCCAACACTTAGTAATCGCTTGTTCGAAACAAAAACTGTGTCACTATTTCRGACATCAATTTTCAAAGTTAAGGGTCCTGGAATTTTTTTATTCCCTGGAAAAGTCCTGGAAAGCTCCTGGAATTTCATAATCTTCTAGTAATATRAACCCTTTATGAAATAGTTTTGTGTAGACTCTCTAAACACACAGGATGCCGAGAGAACGCAAAATAAAGGGGACCATACCACAATGCAAAGCAAAGTGCTTTCCATCTTAATAATATACACCTATTTCAATAAATGTTGTTATCGTCAAAGGTAATAGGCAATAGGCAAAAAGGGATAGGAGATAGGTCATTCCAAGATCCAAGAATAGCTGGAATGACTTGTATTTCAGTCTTATATTCTCGTCAAGAACATGGACCTTGAGACTGATTCATTGTTCTTTGTATTCTACAAAACCATTTCCATGTCGGAATGACCTTTGGCGACGAGCGATAACAATGTTTATTGAAATAGGTGAATACTTCTCTATTTTAAGACCATACCAAAGCCAGAAAAGTACATAGTAAGTCACTGGGGCTCAGATCCTTATGCTGGGATGGCATACTCATTTGTACCACTGGGCAGCTCTGGACAAGATTATGACGAGATGGCCAGTACAATCGACAAAATGCTGTATTTTGCTGGAGAGGTTAGTCACTGAAAACTACTCATTACACACTGATTAGTTGCGACATGGAAATCAATTAATACCCTTCTATCAACCAAATAAAGCATTAGTGTAGTTTCCCATATACTTTCTCATGGTCCCCAATGATTTATTTTGTCGTGGGAAATGTTTGCCTGATTTCTATGTTGAGACTGTTGTCTTGATCAAGGTGTAGCAGTGAAAAAGAGTGGTAAGATATATTATTTTATAAGATTATGGAACAAATTTTATGAGAGGACACAGCACACGTGCCCATTCTATATTTTTGCCATTTGTATCCATAAATAATGGTTATTTTTAATTTTTAAATAAATGAACTAAAAACTTATTATTGCATTCCTTTTTTAGGCAACAAACAGGCAGTTTCCTCAGACAGTGACCGGAGCATACTTAAGTGGTATMCGAGAAGCAGAAAAGATTTTGTTTCAATTATTGGAAGGTTCCTGCTAGTGATTCTAGCAACACATGGGATGTAATCATACTTTCCTAATTATTAATAATTACTATTATTAATACAGTTCATTAGAAGTATTTTTCACAAGCCTTTAAAGCAGCACAAGTGAGAGAGGACTGGGGAGAGAAAGTGTGCATTGTCGCTTGTTTATAACTCTACTCAGGGYAGTTTTTCATGTTATAAGACTATGCTTTCATCATCATTCATAGGGAAAAAATGTTTTATATGGTGCGTTACACCTTATTATATTGCTATGCCAACCAGAGTTTGAATGTTAGAAGCAATTTAGCCTATTAATTTTTTTATAATTTCATAGCATATTTATGGTCTATGTTAGGGAATATCTTTATGATGTTAGTACAAAATGTTAGGTCTTTGTTTGTTAATGCTTGAAAATACTCCCAGGGGGTGTACTCAGGTGGGTAACATGAGGGGGGTGSGAYRGAGCTTCATATTGCAACCMAAAAAAATACTCAAACCTGAAATTTTACACCCAAAAAATACATGGCATCCAAATTTCTGACCCAAAAAAATACAAGACTTCAAAACTGATTATTATTGAATTCATCAGGCTCTTCATAATTTGGCATATAAAACGAAAAACAACTTAATGGATTGTGCCTTGCTGGGAAAAAAAAAATCAAACAAATAATTTTCCGATACAAAAATTGAACTCGGAGATGTAACGACCCAAAAAAATACGGGTTTCATTTCAAGACCTAAAAAAATACGTGGCTGGTCTCTTGACCCAAAAAAATATGTCGSAGCTTCCCGTCATGTTACCCACCCGAGTGCACCCCCTGGGAAAATACTAGTCCTTAGATCAGGGAGGCACAGGGTGGTCAGTTTCACAATCAATATTGCTAAAATTGTTGCATCATATATAATCTTGTACAGGGTCGCTCATTATATACTTACATACTCTATCACTTTAATACAAGGAATTCATGAATCATACTCTCATACTCTACTTTAGCTATTTTCACATATTGCGCACTCATTTTAGCCTGAATCACATGCCATGCATAACCCCTTTGCCAACCTTTYAGATAAATACTTAGAAAAAAATAGTTAAACAAACTTTTAGTTCACTTTACCATTAATCTACAAAAACCTAGTATCCTTCTACCAATACCTTAATATTAGTCTATTCACGAACCATCTTTACCTAACCTAACGACACTCATCCATTAATCTATCAACAAAATACTGACACAACCTAACAACACTCATTTAAAGGTCTTTTTGTAGGGCTTGGAGAATAGAACTTTGCTGAATACACCTAATTGGCTAACGTGTTGCTATGTACATTACCACCTAATTCAAACCTTCTGGGAATAGAAGCGTTTGTCTCTACGAATTCAACTCTGAAACCAAAATTTAAGAACAATGAAACTTACTCCCATGTGGTTTGAATTGGGTGGAAACGTTTATAGCARCTTGTTAGCCGATTAGGTCTATGGTTGAGTGTTTATTGATAATATAAAACTAGGTCTTTCAAGTG